AAAGCTCCGGTCTGCAGCTCCCAGCAAGACTAAAGCAGAAGGCGAGTGATTTCTGATTTCTGCATTTCCAACTGAGGTACCCTGTTCATCTCAGTGGGACTGGTTAGGCAGTGGGTGCAGCCCATGGAAGGCGAGCAGAAGCAGAGTGGGGCATTCCTTGCATGAGAAGTGCAAGGGGTCAGGGACATCCCTGCGCTAGCCAAGGGAAGCCATGACGGACTGTGCCATTGTGTCTGGAATTGGTGGGTTCTTGGTCTCACTGACTTCAAGAACGAAGCTGCGGACCCTCGCGGTGAGTGTTACAGTTCTTAACGATGGTGTGTCTGGAGTTTGTTCCTTCTGATGTTCAGATGTGTCTGGAGTTTCTTCCTTCCGGCGGGTTAGTGGTCTTGCTGGATTCAGGAGGAAAGCTGCAGACCTTTGTGGTGAGTGTTACAGCTCATAAAGGTGGTGGGGACCCAAACAGTGAGCAGCAGCAAGATTTATTGGAAACAGCGACAGAATAAAGATTTCACAGTGTGGAAGGGAACCTGGAGTGGGTTGCAACTGCTGGCTTGGGCAGCCTGCTTTTATTCCCTTATCTGACCCCATCCTCATCCTGCTGATTGGTCCATTTTACAGAGAGCTGCTTGGTCCGTTTTGACAGGGTGCTCATTGATGCATTTACAATCCTTTAGCTAGACACAGAGTGCCAGACAGAAAAGTTCTCCAAGTCCCCACTTGATTAGTTAGACACAGAATGCTGATTGATGCCACAAGGAAGGGGAGAAAATAAGTAAGATCAGAGCAGAATTTAAGGAGACAGAGACACGAAAAACCCTTCAAAAAATCTTTGAATCAAACTGTTCTTTTGAAAAGATTAACAAAATAAACAGACCACTAGCCAGACTAAATAAGGAAAAAAGTGAGAAATCTAGCCATCTGACAAAAGGCTAATATCCAGAATCTACAAGGAAGTTAAACAAATTTACAAGAAAAAAACCTCATAAAAAAATGGGCAAAGTTTATCAACAGACACCCGTCAAAAGAAGTCATTTATGCAGCAAACAAACATATGAAAAAAAGCTCGTCATCACTGGTCATTAGAGAAATGCAAATCAAAACCACAATGAGATACTATCTCACACTAATTAGAATGATGATCATTAAAATGTGGAAATAATAGATGCTGGCGATGATATGGAGAAACAGGAATGCTTTTACACTGCTGATGGGAGTGTAAATTAGTTCAACCATTGTGGAAGACAGTGTGGTGATTCTTCAAGGATCTAGAGCTAGAAATAACATTTGACCCAGCAATCCTATTACTGAGTATATACCCAAATGATTATAAATCATTCTATTATAAAGACACATGCCTACGTATGTTTACTGCAGCACTATTTACAATAGCAAAGACTTGGAACCAACCCAAATGCCCATCAATGATAGACTGGATAAAGAAAATGTGGCACATATACACCATGGAATACTATGCAGTCATAACAAAATAATGAGTTCATGTATTTTGCAGAGACATGGATGAAGCTGGAAACCATCATCCTCAGCAAAGCAACATAGAAACAGAAAAGCAAACATGGCATGTTCTCACTCATAAGTGGGAGTTGAACAATGGGAACAAATGGAGACAGGGAGGGAAACATCACACACTGAAGCATGTCAAGTGGGGTGGTGGGAAGGGGAGGGAGTGTATTAGGACAAATACCTAATGCATGCGGGGCTTAAAACCTAGATGAGGAGTTGATAGGTGCGACAAACCACCATAGTACATGTATACCTATGTAACAAACTTTTACATTCAGCACATGTATCCCAGAACTTAAAGTAAAATAAAATAAAATTTAAAAATTTGAGATAGTTTGAACACTTAAAGTGTGTATTTACCTTTTATTTTCATCGACATCTAAAGATTGTCTATACAATATATATTTTCTAATTTTATTTCTTTCCCTTTAAAAATTGACAATATAACTCAGATATAGTTTTGCATGAAGAAACAAATACACCCCACCATGAAAGAGGATTTATTAATTTCTTAATTTTAAGAATTTTAAAAATCAGAATTTTACGATTTCTGATTTTTAAGTTTTAAAGTCTATGTTACATAAAAGTAAGGTAGGCATCAACCAGTTTTTGATTAGTACTTCTCTCAACTTTTTCCATCATTTTGTTTCAATAAAGACATCATTTTGTTTCAATAAAGACATTTTATTTCATATTATTTCATGTGAATAGTACATACCTCTATTATGATTAAGTTTACTTCCAATGTAAATTTAGATGGGTAATCCCTGGTTATTGTCTTTTTAAAAGTTATTTTGGGCCGGGCGCGGTGGCTCAAGCCTGTAATCCTAGCACTTTGGGAGGCCGAGACGAGTGGATCACTAGGTCAGGAGATCGAGACCATCCTGGCTAACACGGTGAAACCCCGTCTCTACTAAAAATACAAAAAACTCGCCAGGCGAGGTGGCGGGCGCCTGTGGTCCCAGCTACTCGGAAGGCTGAGGCAGGAGAATGGCGTGAACCCGGGAGGCGGAGCTTGCAGTGAGCTGAGATCCGGCCACCTCACTCCAGCCTGGGCGACAGAGCAAGACTCCGTCTCAAAAAAAAAAAAAAAAAAATTATTTTGATGCACAGAAGTTTCTAAACTTAATTAAATTCAATAAACCATTTAATTTTGTGCCCTATCTAACAAAGTTTAGTCTAATGCATAGTCATAAAGAACATCATCCTTTGTTTTCTTTTTTTGTTGTTGTTGTTTTTGTTTGTTTGTTTTTGCTTCATTTTATTCTCTAGAAGTTTTATAAATTTCTCTTTTACTCTCAGATTTATGCTTCATGTAAAATTAATTATTGTGTGGTTTCAGGTAGGGGGTATGGAGTCACTTTTTTTCCATGTGTGTTTTGATAAGAATATGTTCCTTTGTTCATTAAATTATCTTGGTGCTTTTGAGATAAAAAGAAATTTTCCTGTGGATCTATCTTTGAACTCTCCTTTCCTGTGCATGTGTGTGTGGGTATGTGTGTGACATCTTCTAGTTCATCCTTATGCTATGTATTATTCAGGGTTCTCTAGAGGGACAGAACTAGGAAGACAGATTTATATAAAAGGGAAGTTTATTAAGGAGTATTAACTCACATGATCACAGGGTCCACAATAGGTTGTCAGCAAGCTAAGGAGCAAGTAAGCCAGTCTGAGTCCCAAAGCTGAAGAACTTGGAATCCAATATTCGACAGCAGGAAGCATCCAGCAGAGAAAAAAGATGTAGGCTGGGAGGCTAAGCCAGTCTAACCTATTTATGTTTTTCTGCCTGCTTTATATTTGGGCCATGCTGGCAGATAATTAGATGGTGCCCACCGAGATTAAGGGTGGGTCTGCCTTCCCCAGCCCACGGACTCAAATGTCAATCTCCTTTGCCGACATCCTCACAGACACACCCAGGGTCAATACTTAGCATCCTTGAATCCAATCAAGTTGACACTCAGTATTAAGCATCACATGCCAGTACCACACTGCCTTGATACTCTAGCTTGAAAACAACTCTTGAAATCAGGTTTGTAAAATCCTTCAAATTTGCTGTTATTTTTGATTACTTAGCTATTTGAGGTCCTTTGATGTTTCATATCAGTTTTATAATCAGCTTGCCCATTTCTATAAAACACTTGCTAATATCAGTAAGAAGAGAGGACATCATAAAATATTAATTTTTCTAATTCATAAATATAACTTTATTTATAGGGCATATTTAATTTCCCTCTGTAATCTTTTTTTTTTAGTTTTTAGCATAGAGGTCTTGGCCACATTTTGTTAAACGTTTTCTGAAGTGTTTTGATACACTTATAATCATACTTTTTTTCACTTTTATAGTATTAATTTTTAGTTTCATGTCTTAATTCATTGTTGTTATATTACAGAAGCACTATTGGTTTCTAAAAAATTATATATTGAATCCTGGAATTTTGCCATATTTAACTTGTTAGTTCTACTTTTTAATTTTTATAGCTTTCTAATGAATAGTAATGAGGTATGCTTATCACAACCATACTACTTTTATTTATTCTATCTTCATGTTGTAGTTATTTTTCTTACCTTATTTCTCAAAAAAATGTATTTTTTGAAAAACAAAGCTTTGCAGAAACATTGGAAGTCCCCTTTGCACTCTCCCTGATTTCATTCTCCCATCTACCTCCCTATAGGTTGCCTTTCAAATAAAGCTGGTGTGTGTAATCCTCAAGTTTGTGTTTATACTTTTGATATATATTTATGTAATTACAGAAGCATGTATACATTTGTTTTACAACTTTGAGTAATATTGTCACTCTGTACATTAATAACATTTTCAAATTCAATATTTTTATATTTGTAAGAATTAATACATATAGCTATTGTCTATTCACTTTAACTAGTTTTTAAAATCCCATTGTAAGACTACACCATGATGAATTTGTCCATTCTCTTATGTACAAAGTTTTGTTTCAGATTTGAAGTGAAAATTCCGGTGTATGTCTCTCTCAGTAAATACCTGATAATTTCTCCAATAGACACACCTATAAATAACATTGCTAGGTTGTAAAATATCCCTTACCGTGTGTAGCACAGATATTTTATATTTGTAAATTAATTTCAAAAACTATTCACTAAAAAAAGCCTATTTTGTGGACCCTAACAACCACTAGACTGATTTTATTTCTCATCTAGTTAAAGAGCTTAAAGTATTAGTAACTGGGTTTTACATACTAAGAGTTGTATCACCAGGACTCAATTAGCTTTACACTTACTTTATCATAAAAACACCTCCCACAACATTTATTAATTCCCTCCCAACATAATTCTTATAAATTAAAACCCCTATTGCTAAGCTTTACAGAAGTCATACTTAAATATACATATAAGGATATATTTCTCTGGCTGCGATTAATAGGAATATTGGAAATATAGACTGACTGAATCTATTGTATTTTGAAGTGCTAAATTATGTTGCCATGTATTAAATTACTTACTTTGAATCTTCCAATTATATTGAAACACCATTCTTCATTCAGACAGTTGATGCTGAGCAGTTTACAGTGGTCAATTACTTTCTCACAGTTTTTTCCAGTAAATCCTGACATACAGCTGTAAATACATCAGCATAAATTAGAAAAAAATATAATTTAAATATTTTCAGAAAAGCCTATTAACATTATTCCAAAGGAACAAGGCTTTGTTTAAATTATGTGGTATTATTAATCATTTTTTTCCTACATACCTGTGATCTTAGCCAAAAACTTCATATTTTTGTATTTGGAAAGAATTACAGGAAACTACATTTTCAATGTATGCTCTTAATAATCTCTTTTGGGAATTCAAGAATAAAATCAACTTTGGCCTAAACTGATAATTAACAATACAATATATGTTTTGGAAAAGTACTGAAATGTGAAGAAAAAGATGACAAATGTGATTTTTTAATGTTTAGTAGAGCCATTATATAGCGATGATGTGCTAACAGGATTTAATCATGACTACATGAATTTGAGACAGGATAGAGTGCCGGTGGATGATAATGGTCTAGTTATAGATGGGCTACTCAGAGGACTTCTGTTTGTTAGTTGTCATTTTTACAATTGTTTTTCAAACAATCTATATTCCAGTCTAATGTACTTCATTAACTGAAATCTACAAGTTGCTAAAGAACACACACTGGTGTTCTGGCTTCCACTGCCCTCACTTCTCATTAATTTGCAGGAAATAGTACTGTGCCTTAAATCATATTTAGTAAACTTTCCATTATAAAATAAATGGAGCCCCAAATGAAATACTATTTTTTCTAATAGAAAAACCAAATATTTTAAGACCAAAAATATCACTTCTCATGACTTTAAGTTGGTAGAAGCTATTTATTAATGAATGGAATTTAACTATGTATTTATTGTTTTAAATCTGTTATAACAACAAAAAATAATTTCATAAAAGGGATCAAAGGCCTTGTTGGCACAATTTCACTGAAATAGCATCAGTAAAATGCCTTAGTAATTTATCTTTCCTGCAGTTTGAGGCACACAGCTTTGCATTTTCATCTTGCAGAATTAAATTATTTCTCCATTTATATCAGAAATAATCATCCAGTTCTTTTTTTTTTCAGCACCCACCACATGCCAGCCACTAGGCTAATTACTTTTACATAATTTTCTTATGTTCTCATTCAATTCTTGTAAGTTGTGAAATATATGATTATTATTTATCACTTTTACAAATGAGGAAACACACTCATAGAAATTACATTAGTTGCTTTGGCCATATTACTTACAAATTTTAAAGTGGTTAATAAAATTAAATTTGTCCTAACTTTAAGTGTATTATACTCTGCTATTTCATAGATGAAAATCTTTATGGATTTTACTCTACTACTCCACAGACAGTAAGATATATTTACTTTACATCTCCCATTCGGAGGGCCTAGCTAGATATACAGAAATCACTCCAAATACCAACTTAATGAAAGGTAGCATCCCTTCCTATTGAGGATGAGCATGGAGTAGCATAGAGAAGAAGAGAAGAGCTTTAGCATATCCTAAAAGTTGATGAGTTTCAATCTTCCTTTTGAGTTAGAATGGACTGAATTGGCCAACAGCAGTTAAAGATGCATGCGATATTTGGACTTATTTTGTGTTGCAGTTTCCAAAGAACAGGATCAGGTCTATGACTTGAAGAATGAATATTCAGCCATTAAGAAGAATCGGATCCAAAGGGTGTTGGACGAGCACTGGGCAGCAGCAACTCTGAGAAAGTGTTTCTAAAGACAGCAGGTTTTATTGATCCAATTAAAAAAAAAAAAAAAAAAAAAGGGCCAAAGATTTTCTACTCTCATATATACTAGGTAAGAGGCCCCCAAATACTATCTGCAATGTGTGGCCCAGAGAAGTTTAATCCAAAGGTGGAGGACTAATGTGTACTAGGCTTAATACCTGGATGATACAATAATCTGTACAACAAATCCCCATGACCCAAGTTTACCTGTGTAAGAAACCTGCACTTGTATCCTAAACTTAGAAGCCCTCCCCTCCCCTCCCTTCCCGTCCCCTCCCCTCCCCTTCCTTCGGAAAATTTTCCTACTGAGTTTCAGGCAATCAACTCCAATCCGCAACTCGCAGTGATGGCTTGAAATCTAAAAGGAGCTTCCAAGTCTTACTCGTAAGAAAAATTACATCCTACCAACTCAGCCTGCTCTCAAGGAAAAAGAAAGTTTCAATAGTAGCCTTGACATTGAAGAATGCAAAACAGACAAAACAAAAGCAAAGAAAACAAAAGCAAACTCTGGAACAACATAGACCTTTTTAAGAAATGTGTTTACAAAAGTGCATTAAATCCTGTTGAAATGGTCAGAGAGACTTACAGCTAACTAATTTGAGCTACGCTAGGTGTCCAGCAGCCATTTTCGTCAGAGGCCAATTGTGGTAAATATGGGGGGAGAGAAAAGAAAGACTTTTCAGATCACCATGTTTCTAAAACATCCAATTTATAGTTGTGTTTTATATAAAACTATTTTGAGACTTTAGGGTAAGGGTAACCTCATGATTGTGATGGAAATATTTAAGGTGTCATTTCAGTGGTAAAATGGGAGATGATAGATAGGAAAGCAGCGAGGATCTGTGAAGATACATGAAAGGGAAGGAAAAAAAAACACAATGAAAATAAAATACAATAGTGGAAAAGAGGAGACACAAAAAAAAAAAAAAAAAGCATACTCTAATCTTTTACTTGTTTTCTTCCTAAAATGATTTCTTAACCACCAACTTCAATATCTTTCTATTATTAGGTTTCCTTTTCCCAATAAAGCCAATATTCATTAGTTAATTAGCTTTACTCTATTTTTTGGACATAGTATTCCAAACTTTGTCCAGTGACCTGTGGAATGCACACTACTGATTTTAATGAGAAGTGTCAGGCACTGTTGGGAACGCAGCATTAATAGAGTAGGGACGGCAATGTCAGAACAAAATTCCATCACCAGCATTTTGATAAATGTTTTATGTAATACAGAACTATTAGTATTTATAACTGCTATTTAGTTTTAAAGTTAGAATAATTTATAAATTAAAATAAAAATCAGTGAAACAATATTTACTACATCTTAAATAGGTTTCAAAATGTATTTTTTAAATATTAAGAAAAGCCCATAAATTTAATAAAATTAAAAATAAAATGTTCAATATTTTACTAACAAACTATTAGTAAAAATTATTACTGTATTAAAATAATAAAGTAATTTCATAAAACAAAAAATTAGAAAAAAAAATTTTTAAAGCGTTAACTTCAAATTAGAAGTATACTTTTGCTTAAAGTTTTCCAGTGGCCAAAACAGCTTTTTCAAACTCTATACTAGTCTAGTAAATGGAAAGGAGATAGCTATAAACTAATTTCAAATAGTTTTCTCTTCCTGTGCTATCTTGAAATACTCTCATCACTTGTTTGAAAACTTGGAATCAATTTTTGATACATTTTTTTCCAGGACATGAACAAAATTGTATTTATATTTTTTATAATGTTTAAGTTGTAATTTTTGCCTCAAAGCATTGTAGTTCACATTTGTCTCTCTGGTTTCATCATGCATACATGGAGATTCTGATTGAAAGTTACTTGTATCAGTTTCAATGCTGTCATGTACCTATTCCACTACTTGGGCAAAAAAGCCTTTGAAGGAAATTAAGATTTACTTTTATAATAGAATCTTTGCAACACTATTGCATGCTTACACACTGTGACTTGTATGAGCACAGACAAATGTCTAGACTTATGGACAACTTCATATGATGAATTTATCTTTTAACCATAAACTGAGCAACAAGGTCACTTCCTGGATCTCAGGAAGCAAATAATTCAGATGTAAAAGTTATTTAAAGATGAAAATAAGAATCTTAGACAAAACCATATGTATTTGATAATTAAAATTAACATGCTATGCCTCTATCCTAGAATATAGAAAGCTAGTATTAAACCTATTAAAATAGCAACTCCTCTGCCTTATTACACATTAGTTTATGGGGAAGGGAGGGGAAATTAAAAATACATGAGTATAATGACAGATAGGGAGAGGCACTATATAATTAATTAATTTAATTCAGATAAAAGTGGAGGGAGAAATTGAGAAGAGGTATTTCAAGGCCTTGTCAGGATCAACAGGAAAGGCATCTTTGAGGAGATAATAGTTGAGTGAATAGCTGAAGGAGTGTACAAATTGCTACTATGCTTTCTGGGAAGCATGCACTTCAGAAAAGGGAATGGCAAATACTGAGGATTGAAGCAGGAGGTCCTTGAGATATTCAGGAAACATCTCAAAGATCAAAGTGGTGACTTAGTAGGAGATGGTGGCAGAGAGATAGGCAGGAGGAAAATATGGCTCACCTTGTAAGCATTTTAAATACTTTATGTTTCATTAATGCACGGGAACCCCCTGAATCACATCGGCAGAGGAATAACATGATTTTTAAACATATATTTTATGTGGATTTTTTGTGGATAAAAAAATGATAAACAAGCAAACTATTTTACACTTGCTTTACCTGTAACTTTCAGCATCTAAAATAATGACAATCTGTTTTCTAGTTGCTCAGGTCAAAAACTATAGAGCCATTATATTTGTTCTTTTTCTTTCTCATTCAATCCACTCTAAAGAAACATTGTATTGACTCCATCTTAAATATACATCCACAACCCAACCCCTTCTTACTATGCCCTCCCTCCAATTCTAATCTAAGTCACTGTCCTACCCAGATTACTATACTACAATTACTATAATAGCTTCCTAACAGGTCTCTTTGCATCTGCCCATGTCTGTACAGTTTCCTTTCAAAACAGCAGTCACACGACAATTTAAAAATATAAGCCAAATAATATAACTCATTTGCCAGCAACACTTGCCATTGTACTTAGAGTGAAAATGAAAGACTTTAAAAAGGCATTCATGATCTAAAATTGCCCCAGATTCTGATTTCTCTTCTATCTTCATTTCTGCTACTTCCCTTGCTTTCTCCAGAGCAGTTAGTCTGGACTCATGCATGGGTAGGCTGAATAGGCTAAGGATTTTGCAATAGGTACTTCCTTAGACAGCTGTACATTCCCTCACATCATTCAAA